TAGAAGTAGGATTCTTAATACTTGTAGACTTCTTGTGTAAGGGTGGCTTGTATATAAATGATGAACCTTGTATCATACACTGTGGGATTCCAGCTGCAAGATAACCAGCTGAGAGCTGAAGATGATGTAGGACTGTTTGTCTCAAGTGCTACTCAGAAAGTGGCCATTTCTTCTTTACTGAACGTTATGAAATCACATTATTCTTTATTTCTTTCTTCTAACATAACTACTCAGGAGTTTCCTTGTAACTCCAGATGGCATGTTCCTCTTTTGAAGTCACTGCCTTTACAATAGTGTCACACCAATAGTGTTTGATTAAGTCTATGTAAATGAGAATTCTTTCTGTGTCTTTGAACATTTTTTACCAGTCTCAAGTAGCAGCAAATCTTAAAAAGCAGTGCTGATTCCTTTCTATTTTCAGCATTTCACTCTGTGTGCTCAAAGAATTGGGGAGAGACAATAGGGAGAACTCATGGATTTTAATTATAAATTCTGGCATGTACATATGCCTACAATACAGACCTAAGCTACATAGTTAGCAAAAACTAGATATTAAGAATAGTAGCATATACTATTTGTCAGAAATGTGCATTTTCACAGTCCTTTTTGGCAAAATTATGATTTAAGGGCTGATATAGCTGCCTTAGATTACAGCACTGCATTCTGATATTAAAGTTAGGTGGAAGGCATAGCTTTGTATTTCATACACAGTTAGGACTCTCTTTAGTTATATTTTATTCCCATTCTCTTATTTGGTGACTTTTATGGCAGAAGTTGGAAGAAAACTGTATTCAAAAGGGTTACAAATGAGTGTTTAATTATAGAACTTAGAATCTCTCTTTCAAAAATATAAAGGCAAATGTTTTAAGTGTGTGGTGGGTAATAATTTACAAATATAAAGTTAACATTTAAGTATAAGTTTATGGCAACAGCAAATGTCGAAAGTCTGCAGGGGGAACTTTGCAAGATGATATTAGTAAACTTGTTTCAAAGTTATTTGTAGGATTCAAAATATTTAGTAAATAAAACCATAATGAAGACTGGTGGTTCTGTTTTGTTGAGGATTTTTTAATAGGCATTAAATGTCTCTTTTTTTACTGGAACAATATGGTATTCTTTTTGTAAATGTTGTGTGTGCGTGCTTCAGCAAAGTGGGCAAAATAGGTGAAAGGCAATTTGGAAAATTTAAATAGAGATCTTCAATACATATGAGTAGAAACAAAAATGGTTTGTGTTCTTTTATAGAGAGAATTTTTAAATTTCCTTTTATTTTACAAGTCTATTTTAAACAGTAAACAATTTTAACGATTTTTGCCACAGAAAATTGGGTAAAAAGCTTTCACCATGTCAGAGTAGAGCTCAAGAGATTGCAGTTTTTAAATGGATTTCTTTTGTACGCTCTATGTTGTTTTCAAAATAATTTTAAGTATTCAGACTATTTAAATATACAGAACAATAGGAATTTCACGCTGAATTGTAGTATCTCAGGCCACTGCCATCATTCTTGCTGCTTGCTGTGCGATTGCAGATGACATCTTCTGTGCTGTAAAGTGGCTGGAAACAGTTACACAACTAAAGCTAGATAAAGGAAATCATTGTTAAGGTCTCATTGAGAGCTAAGCTAAGTGATGAAAAATCTTGTCAATTCTCTCATTCTCTTTTAGTTTTGCAAGGGTGCTAGGGCAATAAAGAGATATCTCCTGTAAGATAAGAAGCAGTACCAGAAAAAAGCTTCAAAGATTTGGCTAATTCTCTATACTTTCAGTGCTGCAGTTTGACATATCCCTTTTCCCAAATTATGGGTACATTGAGATATGCATATGCAACCAATGTGCTCAAAAAATTCTGTTCAAGATTTAGGTAAATGCTGCTTTTACAAACTGTATGTCTGAGAGCAAAGGGTTATTACAGTAAATATAAATATTACAACTTGATCTTAGAAATTCCATGGAATTTCTCATGTATGTTTGTACTGGAAGGCTTTTACAATTATATTTAATGTAATTGTTTAATCAGAATGAAGAAATACCTAATTGGAACTAAATATAATTTTTATAGGAGATTTCCATTTAATTGACACTGAAAAAGAAAACACACACTCAAAAAGTGCTTTTCAATGGTAAAACCTATGAGTTTTAAAATCAAGAATTATCTGTTGTATTAACTTGAGTGTTGTGTAATACTTTTTTATTTAGGCCTAATGATTTTTGGTAAAAATAATTTTATAATTTACACTTGTTGGAAGTGGGAAGTTATTACAGTGATGTTAAATTTCATTGATACCATGGGTTAAAATATAAGAGACCTTTTTTTTAAGCTAAACTGTATATTGGTCAAGTTTCTTGAGTAGCTACCAAAAAGATTAACAGCCATGTCATTTTAATGTTGATGAACAGTCCTCTAATATGTTTTGAAAAGATCTAGGTCTATTTAGATAGGGACTTAGAGATTTGCACCTGAAACAGGTTTTCTAAGACCATTTGTCTTAAAACATACAGTAGTTCATCATAATAGTAAATTGAAATATGATAGATTTATCTTTTTATGCAGCTTAATAACAAGGCTTAATCTCCTTCACAGAAAAAAGTGGGTTATTAATGTCTAAAATATTTTGACAGAATTTAGATTTCCCAAACTGAGTTCTTCCCGTATTTCTCTTTTAAGAAAGAAATGGATTTCTTTCTTAAAAAACAAACATTGAGGGTTTTGCCCTTAGAGGAGGGCTGTGTCACACTGGTTCTTCGAGAGCATCAACAACTGTCTGCTCTTTGGATGAACAGGAGAGGCGGGGGCGAAGCCCTGATGGCAGGGGAGGACCCTTCGTCAGGCTGCGCCCAGGGGAGACAAGGAGGGCAGGACAGGCTGGTGGTGTAGTTCTGCTGAGAGTCAGAGCATCAGTTAGTCTCTTGGTGCACTGAAGGCCTTGCCTCTGGCTGTGCTAAGTAACCGTAAAATTTCTTCTCCATTGTACTAATTTATGTCTTGATGTTCTTATTTTTTCCTTCTGAAACATTTCTGGGTTTAAATTTTCAGAAGAAGAAATTAGTTTTAGCCATCTAAAACAGTATTTAAAAACTGAATAATCAAATGTTGCTTTTCTTCCATAAAGCAAGACTGAAAGGAATAATTGCTTAGTTTTGACAAGTGAACCAAAGAAGTATGACATAGAAGTGTTACAGCAATACATGCATGAAAACTAGGCTGTCATGTTTACAAGGTGATTTTTTTTTTCATTTGATGAATTTTTCAAACAGTTCCTAGTCTGTAAACTATAGTGATATTTTTTCCAAGGAGCATAAGCTTCTTTTGGCTGTAAAGAGTTAGGATTAAATATAAATACATAATTTTGACTGTGCAGCTATTTTATGAAAACTGTAACTCATTCCAAACTGTTAGTATTTTTGCAGTATATATTTATATATCTATTATACAGTTTATTTTACATCAATCACTGATTGTTCTGCAAGACAGTTGAATAAAAGATGGTTGAGTTATAGGTATTGAATGAAGTTAAAATTACATTCTGTGTAAACTCTTATTAAGAGAAAAGGGTGTGCATGACCAAGTTGGTAAGCAGTATCATACTTGAAGAAAGAGCTGTATTTTCAGTATTCCTTTTATCTCAGTTCTGTAAAGTGCTGTTTAATGGTTTCCATTTAATTTCTACTTTTAATTAGTGTCTTTAATTATAAAAACATCTGTTAAGTTTCATATTAAAAGACTGACATTTCCTTAATGCTTTAAGAAATGTATTTGGTTTACATCCAGGCGTTTTCACCAGCAAGTGATTGAGTTTCAGCTACATCCCAAAATGTTGCAAGTGTTTGAATTGTTATTTATAAAGGGGTATGCTGCCACTTCTGAGAATTTAAGAAAACACTTTATCCATTAAATATTTTATATTGGTGTGCTCTTAATGGAGATGTGCAAGATATTATGCTTTGGAGAACTTCCATGTTTTTTTGAATGTTGCTTTGGAATAGCAAAACCAGAAACGTGCATTTCTGCTACTTTTAAGTCTACACCTATGATCAAAACCAATCATCTTGACCTTGCATATTAATTATTTGATGTTCTTTTTAAACATGTATTTTGCAGACAGTTGACTTAGAAAAAATCAATCTATTTTTCTAGTAGTGCCTCTAGATAACAACCAACACTGTAGATGCTTTGTAAAAGAATATTGCTTGCAGAAAATTTAATGTATTTATTATATTTTTTTGCCCAAACTGTGCATATGAACATTACATTTGTTTCTCATGTTGTTGCTGCAATATGGATAGTATTAAATAATAAATACTATGACATACTAAATAGTAGACATGAAATATACTGGTTATTAAGAAGGTTCCAGTTTTTATATAATATTTTTCCTTAATTTTGGCTGTAAGTCATCACTGATGGTAAAATCAATTTCATTATTTCTCCACAAGAGTATGAGGAAAAAGTACAAAACAGGGGGGAAAAAACTGCTAATCTTTTGCTTCTGATGTAAAGACACAAAGGTACTGTATTAATTTGAATAGGCTAGTGGATTTGACCTGTGTTTAGTAAGATGAGTACATAGAAGGATGAAGCTTGGTTTAGTCTGGATTTTTATGTTTGCATGTATTTGCAATGATGTGCTGAATTTCCAGAAAACAGTTACTCCTTGGACAGAAATTATAAGTATACAGAAAATAAGTTTACCCTTCAATATGTTTGTTTTTAGTTTCCATTTATAATAGTGAGAATTTTCTTTCTAAATCTTAAAAAAAACTACTGCTGTGATTAAGGTAAAAGAACTGATTTCTTTATACTAAAGAAATGCAAGATACTATGAAACTTATCTCAGCACTTGTGTTCCTGGTTTCCCTCTGTAGCAGTCTATGCAGAAGCACAATAATCTAATATTAATATTATGATATTATCTAATATCTCCAAAGAACAAGATGTTCTGTACTTTGGTAATTCTAGTCCACATATTTCCATTATTTAACAATTTTGCATTTGTTTTACAGATTCTAAAAATGGAATGGGGAGGAGAGTATTCTTTTGATTCTTCCAATTTAGACTGTTTGTTAAATGTCCTCCCTGGAGACTTGGAATTTCAACAAATCCTTAGCGATCTTGATGAAAAAATAAAGAAGAACTCTTCCAGGTAAAGAGTATTTTATTTGTATCCAAAATACTAGTGAAAGTCATTGCATTTGGGAAGAAATGTGGCTTAACTTACTTAACTTTTCTAGTAGTAGGTTAAAATTCATATTAATAATTCAGCAGTAATTTTATTTTAACCACTTGAGCATTTGACAAAATTTTAATGCTGTATAATTATTGTGCTACAGTCTTTCTATGGTATTTTTAATAATGGTATCATCTTAACCTGAGGTTCTGTTGCAGTAGGTGTGATAGTGAAGGAAGAAAATGTGAATTTCCATGACATTTGTATTTTCTATTACTATGAGATAGAATTTCCTATAAATGCGATAAATATTTATTGGCTAAAAGAACTACAGAATTTGACAAAACACAAAATTTAAATTCAATATTTTGTTTAAGCATTTCTAATGAAAGTAGAAAAATTAATTAGATTAATAGATGTATATTTTTTTCTTGTATGATCCATTGTTTTACTATTTCAGTTAAAATTCTTGTGCTGCAATTACACATTTTCTTTCTACGATTTAGAATATATTTCTTTGTCCGCTTCCTTGTAACATACTGATTTCCAAAAATCAGTGTTACAGAAAAAGTGGAGTACTAAAAATGTTTGTTGTTGATGCAAATTTTTTTCATCAATACAATATAATCAGCTAAGGATTCTGTGCCTTATTTGTACCTCTTAACTCTTTGGTACCTTCATAATACTTTCATCAGTGAAAGATGCTTTTAAGCAAATAAAGTTTTTGTACATTAAAAAAAAAAGTATACAGTCAGAGATATAACAAATGGTAGGATTTTATATTAAATTTTGAAAATGCTCCCCTTTGTGAGCATCTTCAAGTATCAGCAAGTGCATCTTAAAGTCTGATTTCAAAAAACATCCTTCATGACATCTCTTTTGTGATTGTGTCCTTTTAATGTAGCCCATGTTTGTCAGAGGTCTTTGTTCCCAAACAGCTTCTGGAAGGATAGAAATAAACCATTACCTTACCTCTCTGAAAATTGACTTAGATAATTTCTCAATTATTTTCATATTGATTATGCTGGGCTAAGAGGTTTTTTTTGAGTTTTTTTTTTTTATTTATTTCTATTAGTCTTACCTCCCATTTTCATTTAAAAACATCTTGTTCACTAAAGTACTTGCAGTATTAATAATCCCACAGTAGCAATGGTAGTAAAGATCAGGTAAATATGCTGTTATGGACCACTGCATAATACAATTTCATGTTAGAGTTTTCCAGCTGTTGACATGAGTGAAATGTAGATACTTAGAGATTAATTTATGTCATAACATAGTTAATTACACAGGTAATTAAGTTTCATGTGTCCATGGTCTTGTATATGTGGAAAAAAAGCATCAGCATTTTTAGCTTAACTGTTGCCACCTCTTCAACTACCAATTAAAAGTGATTTTGTTGTGATTGTGCAGAGATATCCTGAGAGTTAGGAAGATTATTCTCAAAATGAACCATTAGAATGAATGCTTTACTACTATTTTTTGTTTTAATGTGTGAAAAATGTATGCTGCTTGTTGAGAAAACATCTGACTATAGGAAGGGAATCCAGCTGTTCATTCTTTTAAGTGGTACTTTATAGCCACTTAACATTTTATGTTACATTTTACATTAACATCATCACAGTGGAAGTTGTTTGTGTGTCTCGAAGGAGACTGATTGTCACTGTCTTACCTATCTAGTCCTACAAATTAGAAGGAACTTTTACTGTAAATTTTGTGAGATCCAAATGATATTTTATTAAAGGAGAGGAGGAATTTGGATTAGGATGTGATACACAGCAATGCAGGTCAGGAAAAATTTCTGCTGAATTGACACTTAAGCTAGCTTGAACCTTATTTTCACAGGGAAGAACAGGAAGTAGCTCTGTAGGTACTAGGTGCTATTTTGCTCCTGTAGTATTTCAGTTTCAGAAATTGAAAGAGTTTAAAATAAGATGGACAGCAGCTGATGTGACTTTTAAATTAAAGAGTCCTTTTATTGCTAATATATTAGAGGTAGCATAGGATGAAATAATTTTCAAACTACTATTGATCTTTGTAAGTGGTATGATAAGAGCAGTTCTATGTGATACAGTGATACAATTGAAATACAATATTTTTCATCAGATAGATTTATAGTTCTATTAGACCACAGAGAATGAACGCAATAGTATACATTATATATATATATTTAAAAATAAAACATTGAGTAAAAAATTATGAGGCAAGTCTGTATAAATCATTCAACTGCTCATTTATTGCCTTCTTTTATAAAATTGTGTGACGTGACAAATCAGGTATGGTTTTTGGCTGTTGAATTACCTTCAGTATTTTTGTACAGTACCAATTCTATTTGATTCTGCAAGAACAACAAAAAAAGGCCATTTATGTGCAATTGTGTTATATGCAAATTTTAATGTAGTAAGTGGTTCATTCATTCACTTTTATGTAATGGAACTCTTATTACACTTGAATGTTAATTTTATTTTTACAGCAGTTTATAGAAGCAGGTGAATGAGGCCCTGGGGTCCTGTGACCACTCTGGTGCGCCACAGGGTCAGGTCCTCAGGTGCCGGATAGCTGTAGATATGATAGACTTCCACCAAGGCGGGTGACTCACGAGTGGCTTTATTCCTGAGGGCTCAGGAAAGGGAAGGCAAGGTGGGTGATGAAGGGAAGCAACCGCTCAGAAGGACAGCCAGCGCTGAGAGTCCTGAACTAGGGATTATAACTCTTAACTGGGAAGGAGGGTCGGGGTATGAAACAGCCAATGAGGTGAGGACTCAGGGGCGGAGTAGAGGAAGAGTGGCAGGGTAACAACCAACTGGGATAGGGGGAAGGAGTGGTTTCGGGGTGAGAACCAACAGGGATACAAAGAACTTAGAACTTTCCAGAACTGGGGGAAGGAGTACATAATGATGGAGAGGGATAAGGGGAAGGGACAACAAAAGATTGACAACAGGGGGAGGCGGGAAACTAAATGTCTGTTGCCTCCCAGGGCAAAGCAGGGGGGCTATCTTCCACATCCCCTCCCACATCTCCCCCGTCTTTATTAATTAAAAAAGCATCCCCTAAAGTCTTAATCAGAGTCTTCTTGAAAATAGTTAAGGCAATAAAAATAATGAAGATGATCACCAAAATCCGTATAAGTCCTCTGAAGATGGAGGCTGCCCACCCGGGGACACTCCACTGCGAAAAGAGTCTGTTTACTGGGTCCGCAGCCGAAGTTTCAGTTTTCAGATCTTGCACTTGCGTCTGGATCCACTTGATGTTGGCTTGTATTGAGGTGCTTCTTGATGACAGGTTGAAGCAGCACAACCCATCAAAGTCCTCGCAGCTGTGGCCATGGGCTAGAAGTAGGAAGTCAATAGCCGCTCGGTTTTGTAGAGTGGCATGCCTGGATGTTTGCTCGTCTGCCAGATGGTCAGAGAGGGCAGCAGACGTGGCGTTGGCATTCTTGCTAATCCAACACTCTAGGTGAGAAAGCTCACCGAGGGCCTTAGCTGCTGCATACCAAGGTAGAAAGATGGAAACAGTGACCCTCTTTGTTTTTCCCCAGTTATAAATTTCGGAGTCGCAATTTTCATCAAATTGGTTATAGGATCTTTTAGTATGTGCCAATTGCTTTTCTTTCTTCCAATCCAGAATTTGGGTTCTGTTTGGAGTGAGGGTAGCAAGCTTGCCAAGGCTGCATGGGCCTCCCTGGAGCTGGGATGGAATTCCCGACCATACTCTGTCCCCACAGATAAGAAACATCCCGCTGGGCAACACCTTAGGACGAATGGAAGAGACCAAAATGAGCTGGCTGGTGTAATTGCACCAGGTCTGACTGTTATATTTTTTGTTCAGGGGGGTAATGTCCTTTCTTATAGGTGTTCTTGGCCAAGTCAATTCCATGCCAATTTTGACTTGGCCTCCTGTAATAAAATTTAACACAATATTGTGCATTAGAAGACCCCAGCAAGTCCAATTCTTGGGGTTCCTCTTTGCTGTTTGGCAGAATTTTGGTGCACTCGTCCCAAGTGTCGACCGGGTTAGGTCTCTTACCCGTGGTTCGGAGCAGGTCGGAATTGGAGATGGGCCAATCATCTGCAACCAGGGGAACCCCCACCAGGCATGTGGACAATGGGTTATCCACATTGCCCATGGCCAAACACAAGTTCTCTTGCTGCAAGGACTTCGCAAGCATGACCCAGACGTTTTCCTTCGGCTGCTGGACAATCCAGCCGTCCGCCGCTTGCAGCCACAGGGTGATGACAATTGTGGCAACAGCCAGCTGGATGCAGTGGGGCACCTTCAGATGTTCCATCCGGGCAGATGTCATGTGGGCAGCCATCCTCATTCTAATTGAATAAAAGACATGTAAGTAACGGAAAGGATTTGATTCCCTCTTTGTACAGTACGAATTCTATTTGATTCTGCAACAACAAAAAAAAAAGGCCATCTATGTGCAATTGTGTTATATGCAAATTTTAATGTAGTAAGTGGTTCATTCATTCACTTTTATGTAATGGAACTCTTATTACACTTGAATGTTAATTTAATTTTTACAGCAGTTTATAGAAGCAGGTGAATATGAAATCTCAAAACAATCATTGCTGGCCAGTTTTGGGTAAGGGGTAGTCTCACATTTATTCTCAAGTGTGAAGTTGTATTCATCAGGTTGGCCATTTGTCTTCATTCTTTCCTTTCATACTTTGACTTTTACTGCTTATCAAAACCGAGTATTTGGATTATTTTTCTGAATTGGTGCTTTAAGAATTACTAACATTTCACTTGTTAGCAATTCATAGAACTAAGCTTGCAGCTTATTTTTAATACTTCTAAGCAGTAAATACAGGACAGAGCTTGAAACCAAGCCTATAGTTCATAACTTGAAATGATTGCTAAGTATGAGTTCTCTCCAGCATTAGATTTTTATTTCTGTATTCAATTTTTTCTTCAGTGAGTGCTGCCTTTAATTTTTATTTCTGTATTCAGTTTTTTTCTTCAGTGAGTTG